AAAAAAAAAAAAAAAAAACTTCATCTTCTTCAACCAATCCCCCTACCCCAAATCAAAACCAATGTTCCTCAACTCAAGGCATGCCAAAGACTCCCCACAGCTTGTCGCGGCCAAGACTGTCATAAAGCTTCTTAGCACCATCAACATTCATCTCGACTAGTTTCTGCAGATAAGTACAAGCACCAGTAGGCACCATTTGCTTCCAGGATTTCTTAGAATGGACTATTGATGTTAAAATCGAAATAGGATACTTCTTGTTCAAATTTAGCACCAAAGGATCCAAGAGTTTAATTGCACTCGTGATCCCCTTTTCCTCCTTTCTAAATATTCTCCTATTCCCAGCATAATTCATAAGTTTCGACAGTGTTTTGGCTGCAGCCTCTTTCTCCTCAACGCCTTACCATCTAACATTCTTGACAAATATATATATAGACACATATGTGAAAACATAATTCAATAAAACCCAAAATACTAAAAAAAAAAAATGTAATACAACATACTCTGTAACTGTGATTTTAGACAATTGCATTCTACGGAATCTCATGTTTTGAAAATATTGCAATATTGCATCATTCTCAATTTTTCCAAAAATCTCTTTATTCATGTGAACCTCCAAATTCTCATTCAACCAGTCATTTCTCATTTTGTTGTGCAGGTCACTCTTGATTAAATTTATCACAGAGAATACCTTTTCAACTCAATTAATGATATCATTAGTTGAACATAAAACTAGATAATTGGTTCACAAAAGAATTCACTACAAAAATTTAAAAACCAGAAAAATTATAGATGATAAGAGCACCAAAAAAATTCATCATTGATTCCCAGCCACAGGAATATGTGGCAGTGAACCACCCCTACACCCAATTCTGAAAATAAAAATCCTCTTTTTACTGTATTTCTGCTTTAATGGCTTCACAAGCAGTAGCTGCGGTGGCTGCGTTCTCTCTCAGGCTGAGAGGCCAAAGCAGAATTCAAAGCACAAATTTGTGTGAGAATAAGAAGAAATAGGCATGGAAATTTCAGGGTTTATGCCGTGCAAGGAGAAGCGAATGAGTGAAACTGAAGACGGTGAAGGAAAGGATTGGAACCGGGGTTAATGACTGCAAGTAAATATTATTTCATTTTATCGGGCCTAATTTTTTTTAAAAAGCCCAACTTTCAAGACTAAAAAAAAAATAAAGGAAAACGGTCAACCCAACTCCAGAGGTCTTCTTCTTCAGTTCTTCTCGCCTTCACCGTTCTCTCTGCAACAGGCAGTGACTCGACGGCGCTCGACAGTATTAAGACTCCGGCAGATCCAGCATGGGCGGCTGCGCCCCCTAGCAGGGTACTGGGTCCGCCCCTGCCAAATCATATAGTGCATTTGCAGCTGCAGTTCTCACTCTTAAAATCCCATAGTTCAACACCCCAACTACATAATTCAGAAAGCCATTTGTGACAAGGACCTCATTGATTAATGGACTCGAGGCCAAAATTGATTTGGGGTGGGGTGGGGTGGGGTGGGGTTTTTTTTTTTAAGAATGTATATAATGTATAGACGATTTTACCCTCCTCTATTTTGTTAGAAAATGGTCAAAATTTATTTTGATGGTCAACAAACCACATTTTGGATGGAAACCGTGCAAAAGGGCCTTATATGCAATGGTTGGAAAGGTTAGGAGTGGCGGTTGCAACGTTTGAAAGGTTTGAAAAGTGTCTGCTAATGTTTCAAATGTTTGGGGTTTTTGCTGCAATTATCCCTTATTTAATATCACGCTAGCGTAACTTAATATTAGGTGATAAGTTAATCGATTAATTTAATATTATTTAATGTCACATTAACGTTACGTAAGTTGAAGTTATAATTCCAATGAAATTAAATAACATTAGTCGGAGAATGAATATACAACTTTAGTACTGTATGTGTCTCCTAGAGAATTCGAGCCCTAATAAATTCAGCAAATTTATAAAAAGATACCCTAATTTGTTGAAACTTTAGCTTTCTTCACAAAATATCACAATTTTTTTTTTAATTGAACGGACTAGTCTAACATGCAATCCCTTACGTTAAACTCATCTCGGACTGGATTGGATTGCTTCGTAGACCGGCTCGTAAGTGGCCTAAATAAAGATCTCATAAACCTATCAAATTGATGATTTGGTCAAGTGCCTAAGAAAGGTCAATTACTGTCAATGGAGTAAGCGCTGAGATGCTCAC